TCCCTGTGAAGTATCACCGTAATCCCTGAAAAAAATAGCAGAGGTCAAACAGAGAACTCTGAAAGTTGCAAACTTCAGAGTTAGGGAGCCCGGGGCTGGATGGGCAACAAAGCAGCAGGACAGAAGGGGGCAGGCCAGGCTTGGTGTTTTCCAGCTCTGAATGTAGGGACAGAAGGTGGCTCTGTGGCATTTTCCTGCTTGGATTTAATGTGAGTTCTGCTGAGAAGCCCAGGCTAGCCCAGCGACAGTGGCAAGGTGGATGGTGTGGGAGCCCCACTGACCCCCAGGGGGCCAGGGGAAGTGCTCTGCTCCCTTGCTTGTCCCAAGACTCCACTAAGAGAAAGTGGGGTAGCCAGTTGGCAGTGCAAAGGGGATCCCACTTTAACAAGTATCTCTGTCCCCACAGGCTAGATATTCCCTTCTCCTATCTAGATGCACCAAGTGGCTCTGGCCTGGGGAATCTCCTGCTCCTTCAGGCAGCATTGTTGGGGACGTAGGAGCACCGGGGGCACCAGAGAAGCTAAGCAGATCAAAACAGTACTGTAAAGCCTTTGAACATTAAATTGTCACTGGAACCTCATCCCACAAAAGTAGATCAGGATCTACATGTTAACCTAAGTGGGTGACTACATGATAAAAATAAAAGATTTAAATAGGATCTAGAGTCTCCTAATATAATAGCCAAGATATCTAAGATTCAATGGAAAGTCTCCTGTCAGACCAAGAACCAGAGAAATAATACCAGAATGAGTAAAGACTATGAATTGGTGCCGACAGCAAGATAAGTCAAACGCTGGAATTGTCTAAAAGGATTTAAAGCAGCCATCGTAAAATGTCTTCGACAATTAACAAGAGATTTTCTTGAAACAATAAAAATATAGAAATATCAGCAAAGAGATGGAAGTTATAACAAAAGAACCAAATGGAAATTGTAGAACTGAAACGTATGTTAACAGAAATTCAACAAAAACAAAAAATCTCACTGGATGGGCTCAAGAGCAGAAGATGACAGCACTGAATTAGTAAACTTAAGGACAGAACAAAAGAATTCACCCCATCTGAACAAACATTAACAAAGCCTCAGGGACCTGTGGGACTATAACAAAAGAGCTAACGTTTATGTCATCAGAGTCTTAGAGGAGAGGACAAAGAGGATGGAGCAGAAAGAATCTGTGAAGAAATACAGCTAAAAACTTTTCAAATTTGGCTAAAAGACACAAACTGACGTTCAAGAAGCTGAGAAAACTCCAAGCAGGAGAAACCTAAGAAAACCCATTGCAGACGTGATAATAATTAAACTTCGAAAATTAAAGACAAAGAAACGAACTTGAAAGCAACTAGAGAAACAACACAGTACCTAGGAGGGAACCCAAGTTCAACGCACCCGGAACTATGGAGGCCAGAGGGAAGTAGGACACATTTTCCCGGTGCTGAATGAAAACGACTGTCAGCTTCGAATTCCATATCCAACAAAACTACCCTTCGGGAATGAAAGGGGAAGAGACAGTCTCAGATGAAGAAAAGCGGAAAGAATTTGTTCTGAACATTTGTTCTAGCCCTTAAAGGATGGATGAAGGAATAACAAAGAGAAATAGCCGGCAAGGGCGATGGGGATGCGGGGGAGTATTTTAGCTAAGATCGGCCAAGGAATCCTTGCCGAGGAGGTGACATTTCAGCAGAGGCCTGGGGAAAAGAAGGGAGCCAAACGAGGCGGTGTATTCCAGGCACAGGAAACATTAGCAGCGGACCCCCGGGGCTGCAGCGGTTCGGTGCGTTCGAGGAACAAGCAAGGGGACAGGGTGGCCGAGTGAGATGCCGGAAGCGGGGAGTGTCGGCAGGAGACGAGTTGGAAAAATTAGCCAATGACACAATCTGGTGGGGGTTTCGAGCTCTAGCAAGTCTAGATTTTTTCCCAGCCTGTTCCAGAACACTTCTGGATGATGTCAGTTGGGGTTTTAGGAAGGAATCCCTATAACTTAACAGAGCCTGTGTTTTTAAACAAGGACCAGCAGTTCTCAAACTGAGCATGCATCCATGTCAGCTGGAGGGCTTCGTGAAACACGGACGGTGGCCTCAGCCCCAAGTTTCTGATTCAATATGTCTGAGGTGGGGCCTGGAACTTGCATTTCAAGTGAGTTCCCAGGGGGTGCTGATGCTGCTGGTTCCTGAACCAGACTCAAGAACCACCGCTCAATATACCATCATGTGCCGCATAATGACGTTTTCTCGTCCACGACGGACCGCATGCACAGTGTTGGCCCCATACGATTAAAACGGAGCTGAAAAGTTGCTATCGAGTGATGTCGTGAGCATGAAAATGTCATAGCGCGATGTATGACTTGTTTGTGGTGACGCTGGCATAAACGAGCCCACTGCACTGCCAGTTGTATAAACGTAGAGCACATACAATTATGTACACAATACTTGATAATGACAATGCGCAACTGTTACTGGCTTATGTAGGGACCACATTTCGTTATCTGAGTGTATACTTTCTACTCATATATTTTGTTGTGAAACAGTGTGCCGTGACATGCGACAGCAGCTTCGAACATCTCGCGTTACTCTCTCGATGGCATCGTTTTCTCTCGCGCTTGATTTAATCTCGTGTTGTTTTGTACAGTAACGTGCTGTAGAGGCTTGTAGCCTGGGAGCGCCAGGCCATCCCATGTAGCCCAGCTGTGCAGTGGGCCACTCCATCTAGGTTTGTTAAGTACACTCTGTGCTGTTCCTATAATGACAAAATCGCTAAAGACAGTTCTCAGGACATATTCCCATCGTCAGGTGGTGCATGACTGTAACTGACTTTGAATGTGACTTCCCTTCAGCACCGAAGATAGGATACAGAAGAGAAGAGAGACTTTCTAATTTATTGAAGTAGTAACATTAGGAAACACATATACCATTCTTACTGTTTAAGGTAGAGAACAGAAGAGTAGAAAGACAAAATTTTCACGTTTACTGGATATCCTTTATATACCAGGCCTGCGTGCTGGGGCATCAGGTTCAAATATTATAAACTTCAGAGAGGAGAATGAAATAGGCTGTGACACGCCCCATTTTACAGAAAACAGAAGAAAGGTAAAATCACGTATCCAAAGTTACGTAGCAGGAAGTAACTAAAGTGAAAGAATTCGGGTTTGTGAACCTGGTGATTTTTCCTGTCATCTTGGAAACATGTCGTCTGAAGGCACTTGGAGAGAGAATGTCAAAATGGTAGAAAACTAAAATCCTGGGCACCCCTGTCCAATGCGGGCCGCGGGACTGACCTTACGAATAAGGGGGTGGCGCTGTGAGCAAACGGAGGGGCAAGTCGATTTGCCCTAAAGCAAAGGCAATAAATCTGCTCTGCCGTTGGGGAAGGGCTGCTTCGTTTTCAGCGGCCTTGGCTTTCAAATGGCAAAGGGAATCGTTCTAAGGAAGGAGCCTCTGTACCAAGTCCTCAGGGGCCCGGGGAACCAGAGGGACGGAAATGGGGAGAAGGAAAGGAGTCCGGGGTTCCAGGCCACCTTCCCTACTCACCTGACAGGACTGTTGGTGAAGCAGTTCAGCTGCCTGAGCCCATCGCTTCTTCTCTCAAGTGTTTGTCGATGAGAAGAGTCATGTCACCACCTTGTAAACTGTGACGCCAATGTGAGCGGCTGACCCCTTTGTTAGCGCTTCTTATCCAGCCACAGGTGGGTTCTGTTCACAGGCTTGATCCAGATGGAAGGTGTGAAAGAAAACATTAAGGTTTCCGATGGAACCTCCACAAAGGGGTCTCTGCTGGCTCGAGATCGATTCATTAGTTTTGGACTGGAGCCCACGAATTTGCCTTTCTAACCAGGTCCCAGGTGAGGCGGATGGGTGGGGCTGACAGATAGCTACACGCTGATCAGATCTCTGCACCCTGTTAGAGACCGAAGCAGACTCCCTCGGTCCTGCCTGTCTGATGACAACCCTGAGGTCTCCTGAGATGCCTACTCAGGGCCCGCCCCGCCTCTGCGCTGACTCACAGGCTCTGGGTTGGGGCTGGAGAACCTTCACGTTCAACAGGTTCCCCAGGTGACTGAGGAAG